AGTTCCCCCCTACCCGGGGTACGGTTTGGCCACTTCTCAGTTGCAAGCTTTGTGGTTGTGAACGTTCCAACTGAGCGCCAGAGGGGGCTGCCAGCGTTTTGGATTTCAGTTTGTTGGCACATTGTGCCTCAGTCCTGTGGTAAACATTGACAGCAGGAGCCAAGTAGGCATTGTGGGGGTTGTGGTCTGCAGCGCACCTCTCCAGCTGCGTCAAAACCTCATGCGGAATCAAGTCTAAACTGGAAATACACCGGGGCACCGGCCAGCAGCATTGAGGATGCAAAGAAAGCCAATCAGGGTGCTCTCCCACGCAAACCTCTCCCACTGTAGCTGGTTCTTTGCAGACGGCTTCTTTTCTCTGGTGTTGCTTGTGCCATTCCACGTGCAACAGATCCGCGTAGGGGTCACAGCCTTGCAGCACCTTGCATAGTGCAGAAAGCTGTCTGTGACAGTTAGCCTCCAATCAATTACGCAGAGCTGCTGAAACTCTAGTCGTGACCACTACACTGTGCAAGCATTTATGAGGGGGGCTTCGGGTTGTGATCTATAAGAGCGTTAAGAGCCCTGCGGAATCGATTTTGGCTCCCAGCCCTGTTGGAGATCTTGATGCTTACGTGACATCTTTTGGCATCATGATTTGCTTGATCACTTCTCCTTCATCGGAACGCACATGGAGCAAGATGGCGCAAGCACCGCGTCTGCACATCTCCTACATAGCCCAGCCCACCACCATCTACCGCTTCACCGACACATAGCTTTGAGTCATGGGCAGCGCTGCTGGTGCGCAAAAAAGATTCGTGTACAAAAACAAGCAAGGACTGTTTGAAGACGGTAGTGCCTGATGTGGGTTTTGTTATAGACCGCCTGCAGGAGGTTCAGCATGGTCATGTTGACAACCCAGGAAAGCCTGAGTCATACTATGTTGTGCTGAATCTGCCCGAATCAGTCCAGAGACCGGGTGTTCATAGGCCGACTATACTTCCCCGCACTCTGAGACGACCAACTTGCGAGTTAGCATTTCTCAGTTGTTTCAGTTTCAAGTGTTGTTTGCAAATTTGGGCTGAGTTTTGTATGGCATGACGCGCCGCTTCTGCAAGCAGGAAAAGTCCGAGATAATCTTGCAATACCCCTGGGCGATGCAGGCCTTTCCTCGAGCACCTTCATGGCACAGCACAATCTTCAAAAAAAAGACTCTATCTCATGATGCTGTGGATGTTAAAACCCGCTAACTATTCTGAACTTGAGCTACTTTGAGCTCAACGTTCAACTGCTTCTACGTGAATGCCGCTACAAGAGGCTAGTAATGCCGCAGCATCCCTGACCTGTGCGCGAGGTAGCGTGCCTGCACCACCACCAGAAGTGGCGGAGGCCTGGACTGCTCCTGGTGGACAACGATAGCCGATAGATCTTAAGATTGGGAGCCATCATTACGCCTAGGGCTAGGGCTTAGGAAAGGCAGCAGGCTTGAGAGCATGCACTTCCTGCGCAGGGCCCGTCTGGTGCAACTTCTCCGCTGAGTGTGCGGCGACATACAGTGCAGGAGAACATAAAAACTGAAGCACGCAGCCCTTCTGCTTCCTTCATGCATCGCCCCTCGGACACATGACCCCTCTGAAGATTTGCGGGCATTGCATAAGCGCGACCTCACGAAGATACGGCTTTAACCTTTGCGGTTCGCATGCAACATTCGGGACGACAATCTCGCAAGACTAGACGCAACAAGCTAGTCCACCCGGGCTGTGAGAAGTCAGGGTAACACATCTTCCTTCCCAACGCTGAGAGGATGTGAAGCAAAGGCTGCTCGAGACCGGCTTGAGGCTGGAAGTTTATCAGCGTTGCGTGCCTGTGCTGTTGATGAGTCGATGTGAGTCGTTCGTGGTCACCTCACGACATCTTAGCCCTTGGGCTGGCACACCTGTACCAGGCAAGATGAGGTTGATGTGGCTTTGCTTCGCGTTGCGGCGTCCATGATACAGGACCGCTCGCAGCAGCATGAAGTAATGCAAGATTCAAAGCTTTGAAGAAAGTTTTTGAGCCTGGCAGCAAGCGTGCTGGCAGGATGTAGGCGTGGCGGCCCAGGCAAGTGTTGTCAGACCGTAAAAGTAGCTTGCACTCGATCTACTCATCCATCATTGGTGTGGCACGGAGGGTGTGTATGATGTGTTTCCTTCACCAGGCATCCCAAGCTCTGCGAAGGGCAAGCACTTCCGAGCAGTCGCAGGACGCTTGTGCCCTGTAGATCGGATGTGTCATTTCAGTGCCCCGTGGTGCCTTTTTTAGCATGTTGACCCGAAGCTCCGAAGGTAGTTTCTATTGCACCTGCATACAGTCGGACCTGGCGCTTCGTTTCATTGACCATGGCCTGCTTCATGCTGCGTGCTAGCTGACGTTGGCAGGGGGTGATTTTAATGTACCCTCCAATGTCCTCCTGTACACTGCCAAAACGAAGAAGCTGCCTTTTAATCCGGCCGGCGGTTCCGTTGTGAGCGAAAAGCGAGCTACATTCTCTGCATAGGCTTATCATCATTGCAGGACATGGGGCTCATGGATGCGTCCGAGATCCTGAATTGCATAGAGGACCACGACGAGCTGAAATGCAGGCATGATGTGTAGGCCAGATGCAAACCAGCCTACAGTGAGCAGCCTCGTGGCCAGCTCTACACACCCGCAAACTATATTATCTTGCTTCGTACCTAGCTGCAGTCTCAGGTGGTTCCTCCAAGCCGTGAGCTTTAGCGTGTTTCACTGCCAGCGGGCGACTTTGACACGCTTTACCATCAGGTCCAATCCATACACCTGAGCCCGTTAACCCTGAACGACAGCCCCACGACCCCAAAATCCATCTTAAACCGTGATAACGTTCAGCATGAAACAGCTTGTGCTGCAAATGCAGCAAGTGGATTGTCGCAAGAGAACAGGAAGGCAATTTTCGTGTAGGCTGGAGAGTGGCTAGGCACGCTAGCGAGGGCTCTGGGCCTGGGGCTGGTGACGTGGTGTTCGTCATAGTCTAGTAGGAGTAGAGGGCAGGGTAAAAGCAAGGGTTGTTGCAACAGCAATTACAGCAGTTCGTGTAAATTTCAGATGGCAAAAATCAAAGTAAATGGCTTCAGGAAAAGTAAAGAGCGATAGCAACAGTCAAAGGGCCACGAGCAGTATGTATTGGCAATGAAAAAATTACAGCAAGAGGCACTGTAAGTAAAAGCAGCAGCAGCACTAGCAGAAGAAGGGCATTATTATCCAAGCCTTCCTACAGACGTGTTGCTACGTCCACACTTCATAGCCTAAACCCTACATAACAAGATATGACCCCTAAACCCTTACATAACCTCTAGATACAGGTTGTGGGAAAACAGCGGAGCCTTCTTGAAAGGTTGAGGATCTCAACGATTGAGCTTTTGAAGATTGAGGTTGAGGGTTTAGTGTTCGGGGTTTGCTTTGTAGGCTTTATAGGTTTGCGAATTCCTGGCGCGTGATTAGGGTTTTCAGTGGCTGGTTGTCAGAGTTGAAGATTCCTTGGTGGGGGTGCTTTTTCAAGCCTTAATGAAATAAAGTTCTGCCTCCAACAAAAGCGATGGAGAGTCAATGATGATTCAACCTCTCGGTTTAAAGAAATACCAGCTAACCTTCAGGAGCAAGCTGGCGTCTTACCAAAGATCACAATGCCGGCAAGCAGCCAAAACAGGCTGGTGTGTCAATGTGGAAAGCTGTACGAGAGCTCCTGCAAGCCTCTGCTGCTTGTTGAGGCAAGGCAAAGCCTTTGCCACTTGGATGGAGCGATGCGAGGCGCTCTTAGAAGAACAAGACGAGGCCAACTACTTGGCCAAGAAGCAGTGCCTTGCCATGTTACGCTATCCCAGTTGGTTGGATGTTTGGTTTGGTGGCACATTTTTGCGAGTCTTTCCACAGCCTTCTGAAAGACCGATGAGGCTGGCAGCGCAAGTCAGAGCTTACCTTGCAAACTGCGCCGAGACACATGAGAAGGAGCAGCTTTTCATGCGGCGCAGAGCCACTCGGATGGCGTAGGCAAATCTTCTACAGAAATTGGCCCTAAAGCAGAAGCACATTTCAATGTGTATGCTTGCCTGCGGTAGCTGTGCAGTGGGGCGGAAACACCAACATAACAACTCCTGAATCAAGACATGCGGCAAAACGTAAATTGTTGTAAATGCTACACATACAACTTGAATCATCTTGACTTCAGATGCAGAGTTCTATCAAGCCAGCATGGTTGTTGCAAACACCGTGCAAAGTTGGAGATGGCAAAGTAGTTCATGTAGCGCCTGGAGCTCCGCGATCAGCCAGTATTGCGTCTGTAACTGTGGCACGAATCAAACTCAGGTAGGAGAATTGCTTGGCGATGAGTAGCTCAGCAGCATTCGAGCGTTCGGCCCTGCTCATGGATTTGGCGGGCAAACGCCTTGTTTACAGTGTAAACTTTACGCCGGACATTCCATCCGTCAGGCTTGGCAGGTATGAGGACCGAGCTCCGTCGAAGTTTAGCACCATTGCCACGCCAAAGTCGCAGTCTGGTGAAGATGATGAAGATGAAGACGACGAGGCGTGGCCAAGTCATGTAGCAAGAGTGTTGCTCAACTGAGCGCAGCTGCGGGTAGAATCATCTTGCACGCTTGCAAAGCAGGAGCTGCAGATCGAGGACTGGCACATGCCGCTGCTTTTCCAGAGCTGTTTGATAACTGGCGCTGCAGGACTCCTGGAACTCAGCCATGGTTAGGGCGAAGAGTGCAGCTCGGCATCGTCTCGGGCATCAAAGGTTTATGTCACATCGTGCGCATATATGACGTTGTTGAGGTAAAGCCAGCGATCAAAAAAGAGAGGGCCGAAGGATTAGATCTGACTGCCGACGAGTTGTTCAAAAAGTCGCTTGGAAGCACAAGTAGCTGCTAGGTTGAAGGGATTAGCTCCGACACGTGTGATCACGATCTGTTGCAGGCTACTAGCACGCAGATCGCGCATGCCAGTGTCAAAGAGGCAAGGGCATGGAGACCTCATACACGAAGGTCAGTGTCAGGCATGTATTAACCAAAAGTGAAACTTCTTGAAAAAGTGCCACAACTTCACAACAAAGGTGCTTGGGGGTTACAGGAGTGTAATGACTGGTGCGCTGGACTGATTTTTGCCACGCTGTCACCCCATGTTCTCATTTGCTTGGCCTCGAGGCTCGATGGCCGATCACAAGCTGAGAGCGAGACAGCAAAGCAAAGACAGTGTCATTTTCCAGGGCACAGGATGTAGCAATGGCATTGCGCAAAGAACCGGTGGGGCGGGTGCTCGGGCCGCAGCCCACGCAATTCCTGTTTAGCCAACCTGTTTTACGTTCTTCTCTCTTAGAATCCTTATTTTCTCCATTCGCTTTGGCTTGGGCTTTGGCCCAAGACATGTCGCCCGCACCGTGACAAAGGTCATCAAAGATCACAAAACATCCCCAAGCTCAGCAAAACAAACAACGCCCGTTACTGAGCTGAACGAATCCTACCAAAAAAGAAGCTGGATCTGAATAGGTTTTTGGTGGTTGATGCCGCAATGCCTGACTCGATCTTTTCGATTAATCAACTTGGCGAGTTGACACGGAAGGAGCCATGGGAGGAGGAAAAAGAGGATCAAAAGAGTGATGGTCAAGGCCATCGTCCCCTTCGTCTGAATCTGAATCATCTGCAAGTTCCACTTACAATGGAGATGATGGCCAACAGGAGGGGGAAGATGACTTGGCGGACGGCCCTCTGTGCCATCCAGATGTAAGCGGTGACACTTCCGCCCTTGGCGATGAATACACGCAACAGACTGCGGCAGGAGCGCGAGCACGACCTCAAATTGCAAGAACGCTGTTCTCGGCGCTCCTTCCAGATCCTGCGTGCATAAAAACATTCAGCACGAGCGCCATTTTCCACAAAATGTACATTCTCTTTAGTTCCTGCTGGTTGAACATGGAAAGGCTGTGACTCTGACTGCTTGCGTCTAATGTGTGCACTTGGTTTAACTGTAACGGCTTTCGATGTTGCAGTCCTTGCCTGCATAGGGAACCCCAAGATAGGAAACTCTAAGGTGGCGAAGGAATCGCTACGGCTGGCTCTAGCCCATCCTTAAGAAACACTCTGAGTACACGAGAGCTTGAGCGCAGAGGCCTGCCCCAACAATAAAGCAAATCGAAGCAAAGATAGAGTCATAGAGAGTGATGCAGCAAGCGAGCAGTTCAGTGCGCACTTCTTACTACTTCCAAGAAAGCTCAGAACATATCAGAACATGTCTGTGTGCTTGCAAAACTTGCTTGCTGTAGAAAGTTGGACGGGGCATCTCCAGTTGTGCCTACGGACATGAAACAAGACGCACACCAGGAAACGCACAGCAAGCTGGCTACATGGCGTATCCGTCCGTAATTTGGTTACGAACTTCTGAAGGCGCAAGCATAACGGAAGGAATTGGCAGGAAAGGAACGAGGCCGCCCTGCTACTTCGGTAGGCAAACACCATGTCATCAGGTGGTTCGCTTGCGTGTATTTCCCCTAAAATGGAGAAGCCACCTGCCAGTGCGCGGGGACATCCCCCACCTGACCCGCGAAAGAATGAAGGAGGCAGAGAGAGAGAGAGAGAGGCGACGAGGGGTAAACCAACAAGTCTGCCCAACACGGGCTGGGCAATGAAGACCGGGGGAGGCCTCAGCCTCCCTCCATAGCCTGAACGAAAGAAAGAAAGAAAGAGAGGCGGTAGAGGGGTCAAGTGTCACAGCCTTGCCGAGTAGGATGTCTTCGTGGACGCTCCAGAGATCCCGCTGGATTAATTTCCTATATAGTGGCCCAGGGATCTTCAGGTCTTTGAGTACAACGTTGCTCGGGAGGTGCCGACCAACGCACGCTGGGACATGCATTGGGTGAGGGGCCGGACCCCGGGGAGGCTGTAGGGCCTTTCACCACCCGTAAAGAAAGAAAGAAAGAAAGAAAGAGACACCACTACATGCTGTTTTCACAGTTACCCCCTCGAATGACTCAATGGCAAACCTGCCGTGGCAACTTTGTAGCACAAGGTAACCAGTCAAGTTTTCCCTTCCATTTAGCCTTTGGCAATACCCCAACCTTTGCATTCAGCTTGCTGTCACCCAGGGCAAATCCTGACTGTAGCACCAAAGTTCCTGTTAATGGGTAACCGACTATGTATGTAAATAATGGTTCTGCGAGTTGACGTTCCCTACAGCACCCATTCGCGGGACTGCGAGGGATGGACCAACCTGACAGCCCAACACAGGCTGGGCAATGACGCCCGGAGGGGGACCCAGGTCCTCCTCCATAGCCCGAATGAAAGAAAGAAAGAAAGACCACAGAGCGCACAGGCCGCACCAGCCACGAAGCAGCAACAGCCACAGCCACCCACGCAAGCAACGGCGAGCAGCCCACACGAACAAACCAGCGCGGCAGCAGACATTGCGACCCGCTCGCAACCAAGCATAGCCAAGACGCAGGGCCACGCAGATGGACAATCATCACAAGCTGGGCGACAGCCACCACAGCACCAGAAACAACAGCAGCCGCAAGCCAAGCCCAAGCCTGCTACCACCGTGGCTGAACCCAAGGCCACTCAAACCCAGACAGGAGGACAACACAAGGCAACACAGCACCAGCCACCACAACCACCAACATCACAATAACCACGCACAACTCCACATACAGCGGCACAAGACCAGCAACAGAAGCCAGGGGCACGTGAAAGTCGGCAACAGCCGACATCACCGACAAAGCAAAATCCGCTGCAAGAGCCAAGACGGCAAGCACGTCCAAAACCGCCACAGCCACCGAAGCCAACCTTCATGATCCTCCCACACCCAGCAAGAAGCAGTGCAGCAGCAGCGGCGTCACAACCGAAGCAACCATCCAGCCACACGGCCGGTCAAGCAGGGCCAACACTCCCAACCGTGACGACAGCGAACACAGACTCTGTGAGAGCAACAACCCGCAGCATTAGCCCCAGACACCTCACAAGCGCCGGCGGAAGCAGGGGAGAGACCCAGGCGATGGGGACCACAGGACATGCAGCAACGAGACCACCAGCACAGCTTCACACAAGGTTACGGGCACAAGAAGACCAACTGCAGCACCAGTCGCAACAGCAACTACAACAATCACAAGCCGCATCCAGTTCGCAACCATCACAACCACCACAACACTATGGCCGAGACCACCCACCAAACCAGGTTCCCCCCACACAACCCCAAGAAAAGTGGGCCGAGCCGGGCAAGCCACGAGTGATCCCACATTGGGAGCAGCAATTCCTACAAAGATTCAACTACCAAAGAGCACACCACAGGGAACAAGTTGCAGGAGCCCGCTCCATCCACACAACCCCACGCACCATGCAAGCAACAGAAGGCGAGGCAAAGCAATGCCACCTTACATTGACAGGAGCAACCCTGCCAGAGCAGGCAAACTGGCATGTGACGCGCATAGGCATGTCACAGTACATGTTGGAGCCCAGCGAAGCACAACCATCTATCACGACCTTGTGCCTCAAACCAATTCCAACCCCACAGAACAAGAGCCAATAGCCTCACCCACGCCACCACACCCGCAACAGCAACCACCAAGCATGCCACAAGCAGGCACGCCACAAACAGCAGAACCATCACAATGTGCAGCAACCACAGCAGCCGAAGACAGCAGCAGCGATGCCCCGGAGGCGCCGCCAGAGGGGGATGACACGGCATTGCTCCAACACAGCCACACACAACAGCCAACATGAAACCACCGCAGGCACCAACCACCACCTCCACCACCAGCTTACGGCAAGCCGCGACGTTGCCTGGGACGACGCGTCAACCACCAACAGACTGCAAAGCCAAAGCTAAAGCCGATCACCACCACGGCGAGACCGCAGCAACCAGCACAGCAACCACAGCAACCCACCACCACCTTCACTACAACCACCACCTTGCCAACCAACGACTATTTGAAGCACTGGCCAGAGGGCTGCCTTTGCTGCGGGACCTCTTGATGCACCAAGTCCAAGGACACCAAGAAAGCAGCTCACAAGCCACATCCAGTCCATTACCACCAGAGTCCTCAACGCGTACCCACTCCACACCACAGTCCACCACAACGACGTGATCACCATAGACAGCCAGGAAAGTGACCTGGCCAATGCCACAACAGCAGCAGCAGAAGCACCAGTACATACAATTGCAGCCAACACAACCACAACACCACAGCAAACACCGCCACAGCAAACAACTGGGAGACCTCAGACTCCAGCTCAAGCAGGCCACAGTGCGCAGCAAGCCCTCATGCACCAACCGCAACCATGGTGGGTACTTGGACACCACATGGCTACCATACAGCAGCAAGGCACGGCAGCAACCTCACAACCATGGTGGGTCCTGGGCCATCAGCCGCTTACCACCACACCACACTACGCGAACCTGCAGTTCAACCAGCAGCAGCACAACACAGAAGCAGGTCACCCACAAGACACCACCCACAAGCCACCGCAGACCTGTTCTGGGCACCAGTTGAGCAAACAACGATGGCAGTGCCACTGACGCAGTTGGACATCACACAGTCCTGACCAGCAGACAGCAGCGCCACCAAGCAACAGCGCTCCCGAAGCAGTCGAGAGAGCCGTGCAGACACAACCACACCTCGAAGGCGACATGGGCAAGGTTCACCACCAGGACGACGTTCACAAGAAGATGAACTGAGAGGCTCTCACCCACCGAGAAATAAGCGTGGAAAAAGAAGCAAACCACCCTTCACATATAAATCTTTACCCAGTCTCCTTAACAACATGCTTGTTAACCAATCCCCCATTTCAGCTGCCACTGGGCTTTCAAGACCTTTCCTAGAAATAAGAAAGCCAAAAAAAGGAGGGCCGCTGTTTTGCTGACGGGGAACTTTCTTGTCCTTTCTCAGCAAACGGGCCACGTGCAGTTGCACACCTAAGCCAACAACTACAACGTGTGACCATTGCCATCTTTACACTTTTCTTGCTTCTGAAAGTTGGCCGCACCCATGGTGATACCAACTATGCAGGTGAGAGAGCATGGAAACAACGTTTGCGTAACCCCCGGTTGTAACTTGCAGTCCATGCTCTCGACGAGGGGTTCTTAAACCGACAGTTCGGCCCTACACGGGCTGGGCATGCGCCCGGGGAGATCCCAAGGGGTCTCTCCAGAGCCCAAACGAAAGAAAAAAACAAAAAGAAAAAAAGAGGGAGGGAGCCCTTGTTGATATGTAAGCCACTGCAGTCTCGACGAGGGGTTGGGTTTTCACCTTCTGATCAGCCCTACACGGGCTGGGCCAGCCGCCTGGGGGGACCCAAGCCGGGTCTCCCCAGAGCCCCAACGAAAGAAAGAAAGAAAGAGGACTAGGGGCGGCGTGCGGTGCTCCGGGATGGGTGCAAGGCCACTCTAACGCCGGCAGAAGAAGAAGAATGGGAGGTCAAGCCTGTACCCACCGCAGAGGCCCTGCCATGAGAGCAGGAAGTGGGAAATACATTTTTAGGGAACAAGCTCATCTCGGATGGATCTAATGCGGGAAGGTATGCTTCTGGGATATAGTGATTTTGATTTCCGTCCTCTATGTCACCATCTGGAATGTGGCCCGGGGCTAGAGCCAGTTTCACACGCCGTGCTTCAGAACACCAAGAACCGGGCAGCCTTAAGGCTGGCGGGATCTCCGCCACTCCCGTACAGCAAAGCAGAGCAAAGGTTTCGACGTGACGAGTGGGGCGGCGCATGCGCCAGGGCTTTGAGCTAGACTGAGCATTATTGAGCAAGGCACAGAGAGACAGGCAGAGAATGAATACGGACCAGCGCGGGGCCATGGGGGTTTACCCCGACGTGCTTCTCTTGGTTTCGTATATGGCCTACAGAAGAAGAAGAGAATATGGAGTTTATGGCCCTCTGCGGGGGGTTTGAGCACTGGAACATGCAGTATCCTCAGGCTATTCGCCGACTCTCGTATTTGACTCTTGGGCGAGGGGGTGCTGGCAGGGGTGGATAGATTTGGTGCAAAGGGGCACAGCGGAGTTCGTGTCGTACAGCTGCCTGTGCAAGGGGGATAAAATGTCGCGACCAGCTTGAGGAGGGAGGAAATTGAGCCTACCGCCCTCCATTCGGCACGTTTTCAGGAACTGCAACGCAACACCTGCACTTATGCCGGGTTCTCATTAATAACCCCCCCTCCCCGAACAAGTAAACAAATTCAATAGTCCGGGAACCCCCAATCGCGGGCCCTGTCAATTTCCATTGCCGGAGATCAATTGCAGTTCTCAATTTGGCGAAAAGTTTGCTCTACTCTATACCCATTTTACAAATCCGTTCAGCCAAGACTTCGCTCCAACAAGACCCCATTTACTAATCCGAAGCCAACATTACTCCTGGCTGGACTGTGGACCGGAAACAATGCACTGTGAGTCTGAGTGCTTTACAATCCGCAAGCCAGAGCTGCTCTTTTATGCCAAGATGCCATCGGTGCATGATTTGCGGAGGTATGTGCACAGATGCTTGGACAAGTTCGTGAAGGCCGCAAAGCTGAGTCGGCTTGCATCTCCGTGATTCCGCCTGCCCTCAAGCTGACATTGAGCCAGCACATGGGAAATTCTGACAGGCTTGGACAGACAAGTACGGCAGGCCTGGCTTCAGCTGGAACAAAACGGTCTGGTTTCTGATATCTTGATTGTTCCAGATTCCAGCCGGTCCTGAGTCCTACTGACACAGACAGATGTGTGTGCTCTGGTTTGGTTTCAGGTTCTCATCGCTACTCCCAGAGGTGGAAGTTCCCTTTGGGGGACAGACCATCGTTGTAGGCCGCTCGAGTGTGCGTCACAACAGATTTAGCGAACCAAACAAGTGCCAGCAGTTGAGAAAATAGCTTGAATAACGTCTGATGTCCGGGTCTGAAACCTGCAAAGTGGTTGGACAGTCAAAGCACGGCCGTTGCGGTAAACTTGCCAGGCGACACGCATGGCCAGCTTGAGGATGTTTTGACCATCTTCCTGGCACATGGCACGCCCTCAAATCGCAACAGGACCCCATGGCGCCTTTTCGACTGCAGCCAGGTTGCCAATTCCTATGGAAGACTGATGCCAGGTACGTCTTTAATGGGGACATTGCAGACAGAGGCATGGAATGCGTCGACTTATAGGTTCAGACTGTCAAGATACTATACGGAATGGGATGTGAGCCGTGCTTCAAGGCTTTGCAATGCATTTTCCTTGCCAGGTCCAAACGCTTGTGAGATTTTTCTCCTGCTTTTTGCTTTCTTCATCGAAGACCCGGACAGCCTTGTCATCATTCGAGGCAATCATGAGGACAGCGGCACACGGTGACTGTCATGAGCATCCGCCCTGCCCTGCCAATGGAATTACTCCCAGCCAGCCAGCCAACTCATAACATCGCTGGAAAAAGACTCCGCAGTGATGCATTCCTTCTGTACGGTTGCGGTTGCAGACTTGTGCCTGCAATTGTGTCATGAGGCGCGCCCACTTTCTCAACCTTTCCCTCAGAACCTCTAGCGATTGAGAGCTTCGCGTGTTGAACGTTCGAGGCTTGCAACAGAATGCAGAAGGTATGTCGGGTTAGCGGTCAGTTGTTGAAAATGTTGTTCGTCAAAGAAACATGACAACACCTTCGATCTTCTGGAGGCTGGCACTGCATGCAGCCACAAAATTGGAAAGACAACTGAGCCACACCATGCAACACCTTGGAGGACGAAGAGATGAACAAGCTCACAAGCGAAGAAGGTGGTGGCTTTCACGACGAAGTTCTGAGGAAATACACCGGCGGCCGCTTGACTGCAGCAAGAGATGTTTCGACGCGCAGCACACCCAAAAGTTGCACGGCAAGCTCGCAGCATATCAGCCAGGCGCACTGATTGTCAGGTATCTTCATGAAGTTCGAGGCAATTTACAAGATGCTGCCATTGGCAGCAGTCGTGCAACAGGATCGGCTATCCTGAGATGGGCCAGCTTTCCAGCAGGTCAAGCCTTTGCAGAGACTCCTTGTGGTGGCTGTTGGAATGCAGATTGCCACATGAGAGTCTCCATGGGTGCTCTAGAGTGTGTCACCAGGTTGGGCAAGGGGGGACGCAACATGCCGTAAGGGATCCAGACATGTGCAGCAGGAACTATTCGTCGTGCACGGAGGGTTGGTTGTGTGCTCAGTTTTCAGCAAGGGATTTGCATCGCAATGCTCCAACTGAAGGACAACATGTTTTTTACATTTGATCCTGGAGCCAGGCACGCAACGCCAAGTCAAACCTGACTCTTCCCTTCATTCGCGACATCGACGCTGGCATTGTCAGTTGTCCACATGGAGGCCAACCTTTACTGCGCACGGCTTGAGAAGAGTGCCACACGTTCTTCTTACAGAGGTTGCTATCCTCTGTGCCTTGAGGAACAGGCTGGGGATGATGTCGCATAATTTGGGCTTGATCATGTCCAACCACTGCTGTCCGAGACTATGAACCAAAGCGAACAAGTTGTGTAGCCACCTTTCGCTCCAGGGTCATGCGTACAGATGGGGCGGAAGGGAGAATTTTGCGCGCATGTGAACAAAGAACCCCTTCGTAAGGGTAGGTTTCGGTGTGGGTCAGTGGGGAGCCCATTGAGAGTAAGTATTCTTTCTAAACGGCGGACAACACTAAATGTTGCCGTTGGCGTCGCTCATGAGCTCGTGGAGAATCAATGGTGCTTGGCCCGTATGGTAGCACATAAAAAGAGATATGTGTTTGTTGGAAAAGCCACGCGCATTGCTTTTCCAATGGGCCATAGATCAACCGAGATTGGGACATGGCAGCCCTCCATCAGACAGAGGATCTCTACAAACAAGCACCTGAAGCAAGCCTACCCCTATGGGTAGGAAGACAAATTAGATCGTCAAGACGCAACGCAAGCTGACCAATGAGACTCCTAAGAGGGCTAGCAAGAGCTACCTTGAGAAAGATGGGTGTTGACTTCTTTGACCCTTCTTGCAAGTAACCTGCTTGAGCACCATTCGATTTGTGGCCTACCATGTCAAGAAGGCTGGCATGCATCATTTTGAGGAAAACAGCAGGCCAGTTTGGGATGCCAAATGTACAAAACAGATGATGTCAGGATTTTCTCGCACTTTCAATGCTGTCCAGATCGAACGATATCAAACATCACGATATCAAACGTTCACAAGATTTCGCAAGAAAGTCGCGACACATAGACACGGAAAGGGCATCATGTAGAGCTGCGCATGTGCTCCTGTGAAGGTCTTTCAGGATCTCCTCTGGTCAGATCCACAGGAGAAGCTTGGTTGGGAGGCCAACCCGCGAGGTGCTGGAATCAAGCCAGGTGCTCAGCAGGTGCTCAGCTTGCTGTTGTAGCTCTCAAGGCTGGTAGAGACTGGTAGAGGCTGGCAGAGCATGCTTCGATACGCCAAGGTGGGGCCCTGACCTCACAGCTGCCTTCCTCAAGCGAACAGGCACGCAGCAAGTAGCTCCACACGTTAGAACATCTTGCACTTCATCCAATGCAAATTGCAGGCTTGAAGTGGATAATTCGGTCGCATCAGCTGCCGGAGGACGGACGCACACGAAACGCATGGAACAACTACCAGCATCTACCAGCACGACATGCAATGGTGCCTCTGACTCTGTTGACCCGTCCCCCAGGTCCCCACAAGCCGTCTGTGGATCTGACTCCTTACTATCGCACCCGTTGTCAGCTGTGCCCACAACCGAAACCACCAAGAAAAATTATGGTCGACGCCAGTGCCTTCTGCGGATGCACGAATCACCAATGGACTTTGAGTCACGCAACACCCACTCACCCAAGGGTGATCGCAGTTCCGAGTTAACACTAAATCCCAAACTGCTGTTCCTACTGATGCAAAGCTCCTGCACAGCATCAGGTTCGAGAACTTCTCTGATGAAGCTTCAGTAAGTTTTCGACGATTTCCAGCACACCTGCATCCTGGGAATTGTAGGGAAATGAGACAAGGTTTAAACAACTTCCGCTGGTTTCCTGCTTCGAACTTCCGCTGGTTTCCTGCTTCGATACTGCATAAAGGAATGCAAAACGGATGCGTTATCCCCCAAATCTGTGAAAAGACTCCCTGAGATTCCAAGGAGGAGCCCTACTGCGCCCGAGTCAGCAGACAATCAGATCCACTGCCACGTTGTAGAAAAGCTCCGGAGTAGCCAAATACAAGTAAAGACACCTTAGCTTTTCTGCAGAGATTGGATTGGAAAAAAGGAGCAACGAATCGCCCATACCGAGCAAGTTGTATTCTCGCGGATGGTTAGCAGCCGGGCCCCGTACGGCTCCTACTGGAGTCACTTAGGACATGAAATCCTCTGTCTGGTGTGGACATGAATGACACGTTGCGGCTTTGCTCACGCAACACACCAAGGGGTCAGGAGATTTTTCAATCTTTTCAACCCTTTTGGCTGAGCTGCACTTGAAGCAGGGAGAACAATTTTGCAACATTTGGCAGCTCTTGTGCAATAAGCCTGCACACTGCTAAAGTGTGGAGTGGTGGGAGATGCAAGAGAGGAGGCGGACATCATAAGGGAAACGTACGGACGTAATTCATTGCGGCAAGAATTTTTTCTGATGCAGGAGAAGCGTGGCTTCAGCACGCACCATTTGGGCCTTGTCTACACGCTTTTCAGCGCTAGCAACTACTGCGGCACCTCTGGAAACAAGGCCATTCGATAGCCTGCATGCGTGGCTTGCAGTGCAGACATTTCTTTGCAAGCAGATTGTTGGCACAAGCTTGACTCTACTTTCAGGGTGCTGTCTGTTTGCTGGAGCTTCGGCCGAACAGCAGCATCAGCAACGAGGAAGGCTGTTGCTTGGCAGCTCGCTTCGAGGAGACCATGCTTGCCTCACATTGCAGCGCTGCAAGGGGTACTTGGCAGGTGCGCACAGGGACAGGTGTTGTTGTGTTTGAGCTAACCAGTCCACATCTGTCTCGGGCTTACTGCACCATGTCAGACGGAACCCTGCACAGTGCCTGTGCCCTCCAGAGCGCCACTAGTGCTCAATGGTTTAGTGGTCATGCAGACCTTCTTTCGACATGTTAGATGAGCTCCAGTGAAAATTTGCTTGGGGCTCTGCCACAATGCCGGCGTGTGGAAAGTTCACGCGTCCTGATACGAAGCTATCGGAGAATGCGACTACCCTGCTTTTCAAACTGACCGAGAAACTTTCAGAGCAGGAATTCTTGAACAAGCTGCACGAACTGTGCGGCTTTTCGCACAACCCCCGCCCGTACGATTTTGTGCATTTACCTTGGCAGAAGTTGGCAGTGGTGAATTTCACAAGCTCGGATAACTGCAGAAGATGTTTTGAGGTTATCAGATTACTAGAAGGTGGGGCAGACACCTGCATCTGCGATGTTCGTGAAGCTGAGCAGCAGGGCCTTGCTTCAAACCTAGCATTTATTTGGGCCAAATCCAGCCAGACAAGTCGTTATGCAACAGTACCGCTGGTATGTGTTGGTGGAGAAATGGTGCCTTTGGATTCTGCCGACGCGCTCCAAGCAACCCGGTCAGCATAGTGCCGAGCAGCCAAATTTTCACATGCTTGCCTGGAAAAGCAACTTAACGAATGCATCCAGTAAAGCATGTGTTTCGTCAGCTTTTGGTCCAGTAGGTGGGTGTTGTTACACTGTTGTAGTACTGGTAGAAAAGTAGACAGAAGTGTATGGAATCCTGCTGTGGCAAGCGTCCTGCTTTGGCAACAGAGGTGCGCCCCCGCTCACTGGAGCGCATGGCAAATGCTCCACCATATCTGCAGCCGAGCCATTCAGCTTCTTCTGGGGATGGCTGGCCTGGGACTCCTCAATTGCATGAGCCAAACATTTGGGACTTGGTTGTTGAACCTCAGATGATTTGGTAGTTCAGCAGGCAGTGCGTAGACAGCATATCATGAGTTGCATATAGACCAACTCAAGGATGTGAGAGGCTCCACCATCGTTTTTGAGCTCTGAGACAGCAACAGATGGGATGAAGTGGAAGATGGGCTGCGCCGGAATTTCGACCAGCCTTAATTTTGCGATCAGCTACAGTCATTGTGTCCTGCAAGCTGTGGCTGGCTAATGAGTGCACATACAGCTGCTCTTCATCACGCCGCGCCATCTAAGACAGGCGTCGAATGAACTGAGACAGTTGAAGTTTTCTGCGCTATCCCTGGGGAGTGCCGCGGTGTAGCATGCGGCTCCCTGTGAGGGTTGTCTTGAACCTCTATGGCGGAGTGTCAATGATTTTGATTGCAGAGGAATTGTCTTCAGCTATAGCAGCATTCGTGCTTTCAGACACGAACTCGCCATGGCTAAATCTTGCTGTGGGGCAAGCAGCGCTGCCCTTCGAGACTAGGTACAACTCCGCATGCTCAAAATAGTTTGTGCATCTTGTTGGCACCTGAGATTACAGCGAGGCGCACATCAATTTAGCGCTGACTGGTTGGCTTCCCATCTTAACTAGTGCGCATGCCATTATACCCGTGCTTGTGCAAGAGGAGCATTATGCCCCGGCGTTGGAGCACGGCAAGCCTGGATCTCAAATTTTAGGCACTTTGACGCATGAAAAACTCTCAGCTGAGGCTGAAAGAGATTTCAGAGCTCCCAGACATCACAGCTCGCAGGGCTGCGGGACGCCTAGACTTGGATAGCAAGCCCAGACTTTTCTCCATATCTCATGTGCGGTGTGCACATTAAAGGCCCTGGAAGAAGCAGGTGCTGCACGCGCTTCTGAGGACTCCCTAGACATGATTCAGCTGCAGGTGGTCCAGATCACAAGTTAGGCCTACAGTAAAGCACCCCTTCGCGATCGAAGCTCGCTGCAGTGAGCCGTGTCGCGCCACCTCAACTTTACGGAGGATCTGCATGTGACAGCTGTGGGCAGAGACCTGCCACATGTACAGATTGTACATTGCCAGGACATACAGAAGGTCGGGAAGCGACAGGCCGCAACTGGGACATGCATGCGTACGCAAGCGTTGCAATTCGAAAGCTGTTTGGACAAGCTCGAAACTCCGAAGCTGAAACTCTAGCGGCCATAGGTCAGAAATCCGTGACGTCGGAGCTAGACTTCAGTTTAGTCAGCTCTACTCTAAACATCTGCACGTGACATAAGTTTGCCCAGTTCTCACGGAATAAAGCTAGAGACGTTGCATAGTTTGCTGACCATCGGTGAGTTCTTTCCTTGTTTCGCACCTTGAAGCAAAAAAAAAATGTTTTAGTTCATATGGATAAGGTTTCTTTGTTAGGAGTCTTGAGGGCATTGCGTCCGAGACCAGCAGGCCGGATGAGCTTGAACTGAAGCTGAGCATAACTTGCGTGGAGGAGCGGGCGATTCTCCATCGCATGGCTGGCAAAGTCGTGGAGCTTCGACCAGAACTTTGGGAGCCGCTGCATGGGCTATCAGGCTATCATGAGCATATATATATATATATATGTGTGTGTGTATTCGCTTTTCTACGGCCGGTTTTGGCCTTTGGCTACCTTACATCACGTACGATCTCCCAACCTTGTGAGAGCAGACTCCAGGTGCCATGCCTTGAATCTGTCACAGAGATGCTGCAACCAACTGTCCACTTTGAACACAGCACTTCATGCAGGAGGATTTCCGCAAGTGCGATGACAAACGCACGGGCAAAGCCACTTGGCAACAATTGGGAGCGTAAAGAATCCCGCTTGCGGGATGCTTGACGGTTTCACATGTATAGCGTGCCCTTGCTGCGCAAGACCCTCTGGATGGCACGGCAGAGAGAGAGAGAAAGAATAAGATGCCATCAGCGCATCACCAAGGTCACCTTCTGTTCTTGGTGCGACATACTGACCTCGGTTTGTGGTGAGCTGCTGGCCCAGAATAGCTTGATGCAATGCATTCTGATTACATTCGAGACAGCACGGAAGGATAAGAGGAGGAGTGATCGTCGCGATGGTAATTATGTGATGCCTCGCCACGCCCATGCATATGATGCATAGTGTCCAAAAATGATGCTGACAACGATGATCTGGTGCAAAACTTAGGAACTTTCCCTGGTCAATGGGTGGTGAGCTGTGGGGTGTCACAGAAGCGGACTGGGCTGTAGTGCGCATGTCTGCCCCTTAACTCCGATCGAGCAGGGTATGGAGGTGAAGTTGCAAGGTTGCGCCCATGACCTTTTTGCTTACCATTCTTCATCCTTTCCCGCACGACTGCCGCGCGCAGGACAGCGAGGAGGAGAAGGCCGCGCAGGCTGACCTCCCGAAAGGACATTGACAGTCATGCTGCCTGTTCTAGAGCAGCGGCAGTAGCCGACGGGTCAGCAAGTAACAATACCAGTCTACTGGCAGTTCTCGTTGTCGTCATGTCAATCGAGAAGGAGGTGGGTAAGGAGGAGGAGAAGTGGTCAGCTATTATAGTCAGTGATGGAGGTAGACCCGCGGTAGAACTACTGCCACTGCCACCAGCAGACAATAGCAGACCTGCTACACTTCACGACGCCGCCTGCCAAAACTGCTCACACTCACATTTATCACTCAACACGACCCTACCCAGTCGTAGCATCTAGAAGAGCTACGGCAGCATCAAATTTTGGAATTGCCAAAGCGCTATGACCAACGATAGCAACCCAACAAAGTGTTGCCTCATGGCTGAGTGCATCAGATGGGCACACAAAGTTATTTCCTCGCATGACATAGTGCATGGTTCGCATGTCTCCAGCTGCTTGATTATTTACTGAACCAATAGCATGCAGCAGCGGGAGGATGTGGGTGGGCATTGGCTTTCACAGCCCAACCAACTTCCAAGCACACCAGACGGCATGGGCATCGCCAGGCCTCCTCTGAAACTGGTGCAAGCCTCTCATTTTCCCAGAACAGGTGGAGGTGGGAATTTACAACAGCGTGCGGACCTAATGATGCCTGTTTTTCGCGAGGGACCTAAATGCCCCCATATGGAACCCCGAACGCGTCCAGGGCGAAGGGTCCATGAAGCATAGGCGGAGCGCGCTCATGAACTGCAACCAGTTGCTTTCGCTGCTGGCCCCACGCATCATAGGCGGCTGTAAATCATGACTCAAGCCCGCAGGAGGAGAGCTCCCAAACAAAGACCTGCCGCAGTCAGGATCTCCGCTCTTGTGGAAATGCCAGCGTGAGTTGAAACATTATTTAAGGGGCTGCGCCCAGGGGCGGGCAACGCAGGCAGCATGTTTTCTTGGGTTCCCTCCCAAAACACCCAAAATGACAACATCTGGCTCAAACCCAGGTTCTCGGGCCCAGAACCTGGGTTTGGGCCAGATGAGGTCATTTTTGGTTGTTTCCAAACCTGGCCACATCTGGCCCAAACCC